GAACGTAGAAACCGAATACTCCGGGATGAAACAGCGGAATGGAACGTGATGAAACTTGAAATACAGATGGAACGAAGCGACCGGAACAAGAGCAGGTTCGACTATCGACATCAATCTTACAAATTGAGTATTTCAACAATCGTCCACTCATCAATCGATCAACTGATAACCACTAAATACCTCACGTTAACAAGTCTTCACACCAGAAAGAAGAAAAAGGATCGAAACATTTCCCAAATAAGACGTCACTATACCCAAACCTGTGCAATTATTAAGCTGCGATCATCAAACTTCCACACACCAACGTTTTTCTCATAAATCCCAACATTCCCGTACCGAATCGAATGCACGGAAAGTTAACGCGTAGCGTCCCAATACATCCAACCGCGATAGAACGGTGGAACGGTTCAGCCTAGAGAGAAAGCAAACAGCCGACGATTTATCGCGAAAAAATCAGAGAGAGAGAGAGAGAGAGAAAGAGAGAGAGAGAGAGGCGGATTTTAAGGTCGATGGCGGACCATAAACAGATGGACCGATTCTTGAATAACGCCGAGGCGGTCCGTGGAAGCGCGAGAGTGTTCAGGTCGTTAGGTATAGATTCTAATACGCAAAGATAGATTCACCGGTGAGGGGCGATCGTGTATATTTAGAAAAGTGCCTCGGCTTGCCAGAACCGAGAGAGACTCGGACACGTATATCTCGGCGTACCGCGTGCGTGATTTCTCGCTCTCTCGAGCCCCGCTTTTTCTTCTCTATCTTCCCGTCGTATTCCTATTGTACGTCCTCCGACGGGGACTATAAAAATTTCACCTCCGCCCAACCCCTCCCGCGTTTTCCTGTTTACCAGGGTCGACACGGTTGAGTGATGACTTGATGTCTAGCGGAACGGCACAGGGGCAAATGCTGTCCTTCTGGTTTACAGTTTTATATAGTTCGTTAATTAACGTATAACTAATCCGCAGTTAATATTATAATCTATGATACATCTATAGTATATATTAACCCCTTGACCTACAATATCGTGTCGAAGTCGTGACGAATACTTTACACTCCATCTGACGAATTGTTATTTATTCTTTTTTCGAGACAAATTAAATATTACCTTTTTATTGTCAATCATTAACCTTTGAAGTGAACGTAGATATATAGGAAGCGTCAGAAGTTTTTCTTTTATTAATAAATTATTAACAATATAGTAGCTGTACCGAATTTAACCGAGTGTAACCGTATTTTATGTTATTGTTAACGTTTATATACGAATTTCGCGTGACATTTCACTTTTGTATATTGGTTCAACTTGTATTAAGTTGGTCCTCCGTTTCTATCAATTTCTTATGGAAGATCTTAGTGTCACAGTATTTTTCGATGATTTTTTAAGTCGCGTTATAAGGGACCTACTGTAGTAAATTAACGATCAAGAATACTTGGAATTAGGGGAAAAAATTAGTAGGAGACTGGCTGAGGAAAACGAAGAAAAAATTAATCAACCGAATTCCTCAGCCTAGCCGTCAAGCGATCTCCTAGCAGTACCTTGAATCGCGGGGAACGGTTTCGTCATTCGAAGTGCCTGGCGAAAAAGATGGCCACCTCCCCCGACAGCCGGGTGTAAGGCTAAAGGATGGCGTCTTAAAAATAATGTTTGCGCGAACGGTGTAAACACGTTGCCGCGCCTCTTCTCGAAGAAAGTCAGCGGATCCGACCCGGCTTCGGGTTCTACAAATCCGATGGAACGTGATTTTTCGAAGGTGCCGACGCTAACGTTCGATTTGACTCGTCTACCGTGGAGTTTCTATGATTTCTACGACTACGTTGCTGTGACTAACGATCAATGCATTAATTTTGCGCTGTAGAATATTTGAATTGTTCATAAATCATAGTGATTAATCTCGATTGTCGAATATTTTCAAGCTTCGGTGCCAAAGCATTCGTTACTCTCTCTTAAGCATGCAGTTTCACCAAGCTCTAATACAAATATAGTTACTTCTGTACCGCAGAATGTTTGAATTTTTCGCAGATCACTCTTGCCAACCCCATTTTCCGAATATCTTCAAATTTCAGTGCCAAAACGTTGATCAATATTTCAAGTATACAATTTCAACAAATTATTCTACTCTTCATACCACGAAGTTCATCTAAATGCACATTTAAGAAACGTAATCCCGTTCTCGAAGTTTCAATTTCCTTCCATCAGTGGCAAGTGTATAAATCAGTAAGCACAATGATTGCATCCCGAAAATATCGTTCATTCCAATGAATGACTGGTTTCGAAACGTAAAGGTGAAACGTATCACATCCTCCTGACATTTTCCGGAGTAATAATAGAGTGGAACGTTGAATAATAATCACGAGCGAATTACGTGATGTTCGCGGGCTAGCGTGAGTTCGCGTAAAGTGATAACGAGCGCGTGACCGAGGGATGAGCTTCCGAGAAAGTCGTTTCCGGGAGTAGCTGCGGCCCGTATTAGTCAGACAATGGTCGCGGGGAAATTCGAGCGACGATATTGTTTTGAAAGCCGGCCAAAAATGTTTCGCAGGAATCGGAATGCCCGTTGAAGTTAAGGGTCGCGGCGATCACCGTGACTTTCGAACGGTCGCGCCCGTCTTCGTCATCCCCGAGGCTCCGAGCGCGGTACGCCGCCTCGACGCCGGTGAAAAGAAGAGCCGATTAATCCACCCGGATCGCCGATGCGACCGAAAAACTTATTTTCGTCGGGAACACTGGCCAAGACCCACTTTTTCTTCGCACGGTGTTCTATTTCCTACCGCGCCGCGAGGTATCTTTCTACTTTTGCTCGAGATGCCTGAGAGTCCGGGGGTCGAATTTTCCAGAATTGCTTCTCATTTCACGGAGAAAATCGGCGAAACAATGGTAATGGATAGTAGCTTGGGAACTTGAATGTGCGAGCATCTACGCGTTTGTGATCCATCGCGTAGACTGCGTGGAATTTTGAGCGTTTGTGACGCGAGGTTTTTAAATATTTTATAGATACTTATTATGTTAGATTTTATATTTAACACTGGAACTACCGTACCAGTGAAAATGATCGGTTTCGATTTGTTTGTTTCGTAATTGTTGATATTCTAAAAACACTCGATATTTGAAATGATCTTGAAGATAAGTACTTTCATTTGAATACTATAATGAATCTCTGGAGAAACTGAGAATAATCTACTGTTACTATTTTTAGAGGGATTAGATATTAGTTGTATTAAACACTAGGTAGTTCTGGTGTTAATATAATTATATTAAATATTATGACGGTTAGAGTTTGGATGAAACGATGTGTTTATTCGTGATTAGAATGTCGATGTAAATTTCGCAAACGAATTTTTAAAGATTAAGTTATTCATTTGCAAAGTTATACAGGAATTCCTTTATTACAGGATGATGGTTTTCGACGAGGTTCGAGATAAAATCAAAATCTTCTCGATGTCTCTTGAACGGCTAACGGTATGTTTTGGGCAAAACCGTGTTACGCTATAAACGCGCAAAGATCCACGGTCTATTCATAACTTAAGTGACCGTCCTTTGCTATAGATTAACGGGATATAACCGGCAAGGTTTAATTGCTAGTTATAGTAGTTATTCGGAGTTTCGAAACAATCATCCGATAACGCAGCCTACGATCTCGAGGCTGATTAAACTATTCACGCCTACGCGAGCTAGAAACGCGTCAGGGAAACGGTGCGCTAAGATCATCGATTAGGAGGTCTAATTTCGATTCGTGCGCATGTAGGTGAAGTTCTCGTCCGCTAGACTTCTCATGATCGCCTCGTCATCCGGGGCCAATTTAGCACGAAGACCAATTAATCCGCTATAAACGTTTGCTTTGTCCTAAACTTCTGGGCCTTCGCGTTCGTCCAACAATTTCTTAATCGTACCACCGACGCCGATTCCGTCGTAGGTAAACTAAGGACAAGTGGCCCGAGTACTCCGAATAGCTGCCCACGATCATCAAAGTGTTACTAGAACATACTTCCCGGGCGTTTGCCATCAATTCTCTTATTTTCACGTTCTGAATCATCGTTATCGTCATTCCTAGCGATTAATCAATCAAAGAACATCACAGTGCCCCCGAAGTTGGCAGAGCAATTAACTCTACAAAAGACAAAATAAAAAAGCTTGATAAAACCAGGCATCTACACGTAGACGGGATCAATTTTGGCACTCCAAAAATTTTAGTAACATGCTAAAGACCGGTATTAGTCATTCTGGCTAGCGAACGACGTATCTTAACGACAATGATGTTGAACCTTCGTTCCAATTAATCAATTTCATTCCTTCCAAGTAAAACACACAGCAAACATCTGCGAGCGAAGTTCGAAAATTCAAAATCGAATGTCATCTGCACTTCCAATACGAAATAAAAGCACCCAAAAACCAGCCATGTCCAAGCAACCAAATTTCCCCCTCGCGCGTTTCCACCTACAAGCAGAAAGTCGGAGAACAGAAGGTCCGACTCGTGACCTCGCGAAATTACTCGAACTCCCCGAGAGAACGGACGAACCTAGAGAGAGAAGGAAAGAGAGAAAGAGCTATTTATGGTTGCAAAGGAGTTCGTGGAACATATTTTCCCGGCTGAACGGTGTCGCCGTTGTTATTTCCGCGCTCCGGTTTCAAGTTCATCAGAAGGGAACGGCATGCACCACAGCGGGCCGCGTCCCCGCTAATTACAAGGTTTCAAGTTCAATACCGAGCGCAAAAAGGGGGTCGGTAGCGTAATCGTAGAAAACCCGGCGGCCACGTCGAGGGGGTGGCACCGCGTTCGGGCGAAAGAGGGCGGCGTCGGAAGGGTGGTGGATGCGCGCGCCGCTTGATCGGCTGGCAGGATCCTCGGGAATGCTCGGTCCAGGACAGTCAGGCCGCATCTACGCCCACGTGACCGCGCGTGGGCGGTGGGAGCCAGCGGTGGGAGTAGCCAGCACCGCGGCGATACGTCGATTTCACCGCGCAGACGCAGTGGGGGGAGGGGGCGGTGGTGTTCGCCTCGAGGTGTCAGGACGATATTTCGTGCGGTTAGTTGGCGCGCGGGGCCCCGGTGACTGGGACGGCCAATACAGGCGCTCCGTATAAAAAGGGGTAGACAGGAGACAGGGCCGAAAAGAACAGGATCAAGCTATTAGGAAAACGGAGTGACGACCACGCACAGTGACGACGACGAACACACGACCGAAAATTTACGGATTATTTCGTACACGCTGCTTTCTTCCCTCCCTTCGTTCATTCGCGGCACGACCATCGGCAGAGAGTAAACTCGGAAAGTGCGCGAGGATCTATCGAGCCGCGAGCTCGAGCTCGGTCCTTTCCCAATTGATCGTTGTTGTACGCTCGACAAGGTGCACAGGAACCGGCCGGAGATCAGAGGATTTTCTATTTGCGAGGATCCGACCTCATCAGCCTCCGACCGCACTTTTGGATAACCAAGGAACTGCCTCAAGTAAGTCTCTCTACATGTTTGACACTCTGGCCCAGGATATGCTTGAGAAGCGTGCGTGAAGGGTGTACGAGCGAGAACGAATGCGGGCAGTTCAGTGCCGAGGCCTGGTTTGCTACCTGGCCAGCTAGGGTCTCTTTAGTATCCCTTTCCTCGGTAATCGGGGAGATCGTGTCGATCTTCGTTAACGGTGATCCGCGTGTGCATATCTGGTGCAGTGCTTCGAAGTGACACGTTCAGCCCGGGGATCCTTGGATCGGGACGACGTTGTGGGACTCTTGAAACGTAATCTCGATACCGAGACGGTCTCGTCGACGGTCAGCCCCGGATCCAGGATTCTTGTTGGCGGGAACAGTGCGCAGGCTGTGGCGAGTTTCGAGTGGAATAAGTCGAGGACGATCGAGACGGACGTTGAAGCCGTGTTCCCATGCATGTGCAACGATCTTTTCGGAGTGCTTCGAGTGTGACATGTTTGCTGCCTTTAGCGCATGTATCGGCTTGGTCGAAAGATCTTCTCGTATTTCTGGAATAATTATTATAGTAATCTTTGTCATCCGGTAAATACGACAATGGCAATAACTAACGAAAAGGCGATACATAGTTTATTAATCCTTTCTTGCTATCTCTAACCAAGTGGCGACTGTCAAATCGCCTTTCCAATGTAAAAGCTTGTAAAACACGAGAAGATCGTTAGCCAACCCCATAGAACGAGGCTTCGCGGTCCTGCGCTCACTGACGGACGTCGAAAATGAGAGCGTCCGATAGGGTGACCTTGACACAAAGGTCCAATGGCACACGGGGGACAAGGTGGTCTAGCATGAATCGTCGGAAAATCTTTCTCGATCTTTGAAACAATGCGAACCTGTGAGCTGTTACTAGACTGCAGATTTTCGAGATTGTAATTTACACGATTGACCGAGGTTTAGCATTTTAGGGGATTGGGAATTGTTTGATGTTTATTTCGTTTTATTTACGTTCTGCATCAAAGTTCTGATAGAATCTCGAGTCGCTCTTTGCATGAGAATCTATAGGAATGTGCATTTCTATAAAGATCCTCGGTCTAGCAATCGCCACGCGTCTCTTGTCTGACCACCGAGTACTATTCGTAGACTACTATCTAGGTATCTAGGCTCGAAGTCCACTTATTTTTAGAAAGACGTAACGGGAGGAGGAACGGGTCGTCGTTCCACTCGACGTTTCGATCATCATCATCGTTTCGAGCACGTTTTCTTCCGTTTTGTCCGTCTGTCGGCTTGTGTCCCTGTCGACCAGCTTCATCCATCAACCGTCTCGTCTCCCTTAATGCCGGGCTTTCGTTCGGTCAACGCTAGAACTTCCGAGCAATTAGAGCGTTTCGTATGCAATTGCTTTCTTAGTAAGTTCCGAGAAGTTTGCACGCAATTGCTCTCTTAGTAAGTCCTGTGAATGTATGTGTAATTCCTAACAAAGTTACATGTAATCTCTTTCCCAGTTAGTTTTCTGTTCTTAGTTCTCAAAGAGAACTTTCACATGAATTTCTGTAACAACTTCTCGCGAAAGCGTTTTCACGATTTCATCGGTTGCAAAACGAAAAATCTGGGACGGCTAGTTTCGACCCGCGCGATAGTTGTAGCGTTCACTGGTTGCCATGTCTGTTTCTACGTCGATCCGTTTCGGCGCGGTTCGAATTCATCCACCTCTTCGACACCCTGTCCACCATTTTGTCCCCGTTTCTTTATCCATCTCTTGTTTCGCTGCACCCAAACGTCACGCTTCTACAGATGGAAACGTCCGCTTGTTCCGTTCGATTTCGCTAACTTGAAGTTTCAAATATTCATCGAATTACACTTTCGAGTTCAATAACGCTGGCTGAATTTTCGACGTATCGTTAGACATAGATATAAACTTTCATTTTAATCAGAGGAAAACAACGGCCTTGAGATAAATCGCAGTGTGCCTTGCACTTAATATTCATAGCATATTGTTCTTTACTGTCAAGGTCTACGCACCACTTTTACGAGATTCGAGAGTCTTCCAAAGGTCAAAGTACCTTTCGAAAATTACTCATTCCGAGGTCACAAGCTAGCTTGTATATCTTTATTAATTAAATTTCATCTTAATTGAATTCTTCGTACACTAGCTTCGAATAACACTGTTAGATCCAAGCGTATTTTTATATATTTACGATCTTCCAGTATCCGAACATTTTCGGGGAACCATCGATCGAGGATGTTGACAATGTCAGTCTGACATTGCTACCTATATTCTCTAATGACGAAACATTTGAAAAATTAACATTTTCTTTGAACAATCGAAGCCACTGGTTTTCAGGTTTCTTCGATGTTGAATCCTTGATTTTGGAATTGTACTGGACCTACGAGGGTGTACTGAACTTGATCTCATCGCAATCCGCGATCAGTGGTTGGATCGATCGGCGCGGGTGCGATCCGTCGAAAAATTCCTGACCGATCTTTCACTCGGCGTACTTGAGTTTCGCGATATTTATAGACTTCATGGCCAGCCAGCTAGAAAATTGCACCTGTTGATCGTTAAACCCTGTCGAAATTAGCATTGGATGACTAATTTATTGTTTTTGGCCTGTGTCTGTCATCGTCGGATCATAAAGGATCGACGTGTCGCTCGCGTTTTATTTTACGCCACTCGGGTGGCTCATCCGGTTTAAAAAAAACCTGGGTACACTCATGATCCCCGGTTCTTCGATCGAGTCGCAATTTTGACATCCGGCTGGACCCTCCCGTGACATTGTCCTTATTCTCGACTGTTAGCTACGTTTTGGGTCTGTTTGGAACTTTGTTCATTGGGCTCGGCACAGGTTCAACATAAACAAATTAATGGGAAACTATTAATACTCGGTTCCCAGTTTCTGAAACAACTTTCCGAACACCGATACAAAATAGAAACTTTATTTATAACGGACTCCTGTATACTCTATATACCTTAGTTTCCAATAATAGTAATTTATCGGTAGCCAGAATTCTCGACAGACCTGCGAAACATAAACAAAACATTATCATATTTTCGTGACTTTGCTGTAAACAACATAAGCTCGACGCTTTAAAGCTACTATTTTTATTTTTTATTTATAGTCTATACCATTCTCTATAATTACAATATAATCAGAATGTACCTTTGTTCTACAGATACTTTACGGCGATAAACTAATTGAAGTTTAAATACCATAACCCTTAATGAAATAAACAGGCTATCATATCTCAAAAATAAATCAGTCTATATAGAATTTATATTCTATACTACTTCCTATATTACACACCTTCACAATTAAACAAAAGAAATAGAAAGCGAGAAATCGATTAAAGTTGAACACCACGATCCACAGTGAAATAAAGAGGCTACAGTATTTCAAAAATAAGTCAGTCTACATGGAATCGATATTCTACACTACTTTCTCCATTGCACACCTTTATAACCGAGCGAAGCGGAAAAAGAAAGCGAGAAATTGATTAGAGTTTACGTACCATGACCCTTGTGGAAGGGAAAAGGCTGTCGCGTTTCGAGAATAAATCGGGCGCGTCGATATAGGATTTCAGTGGCGTCGACTTGTGTGTTAGCGTGGCTTTGAGTCAGTCCACGGAAATAGACGTCGGGCCGCGAATGATGCCGTGAAAATAGTAGTATAGACAGGCGAAGAGTGCGCCGGAACGCATGCCTCGGCTAATAATTATAACTTGTAGGTCGGATATAGTGCGCTCGGTAAGTTTATCTCGGCATTAGCCTCTCCGATGACCTAATATTCTTCCCGTCCTCGCAATTCGAGACATGAATCACTGCCTCGTGACGGATCCATATCGCTGGGTTAGAAACCTCCGCGAGCGATCGTTCCCGGCGGCCAAATGTTATCCGCCGAGATGTTCGGCCGGAGAATTGACGAGAATCCTCTACGCTGCCTCGTTTCACCGTTGTCCCTTGATCCTGGCACGTTAACAACGGCGACCAATAAAACCACGCGCGATTTAATTCTCGCACTGCCAAGGTATTTTTTGAAACGCGGTCTACCCCAGCGCGCTGCGAAACGAAGCGTTCAAGCGTGCAACGAAGAGCGTCGTTAACCCTGGATCACTGAATTATATTTTACTCGGTAATTCGTTTTGTTATCGCATCGAAATTGCACTCGATATAACAGTAGTTAAATTTGAGATTGAGCTACTTAAATAATAGATATGGTTTTCATTTTGACGAAAGATTCACGATCTGCGATTAAAGGGTAACGAGTTTTTTAGGAACTTGGCTGGATCGGATCGAGAAATATAGAAACTGTGTCGCAAGGATTGACATTGAGATGCAAAATTTTTCCTGCGACCTCTAGTTTCTCAGATATTGAAACAAAACGTCAACCTTGGGGACTGTTTTCACCACTCCAACTGAGCCGTGAGTGATGGCCAATAAAAATATACGCGTGTAACGTAAACGCGCGGTATTACACATATATGTTTCTTAATGATTCTTGATCGAAAATAGTAGCGGTTGGGTAAACAAAGTTAATTAACAGTGGGACTGCCAGGTGGATCAAACTGACCTATTTCCATCTTCTTTCACGATATTTTTATAAATGTATCGTCGAATATTTGATAAAAATTTAATAAAATATTATTAGATACATGGACGAAAAGATAATGCATATTTCATGATTTCTATCAAAAGATACAAAACAATTTACTCATTCAGCTTTATTAATATTAGATTTTAAACGATAGTGCTTCAGCATTCTATTTCCAAGTTGTTTTAATCCAATGATAAACTTCAGTCGACGGAGCTTCAACGTATTATTTCCAATTCTCTTTATTTAAACATTAAACTGTGAACAATACCGCTTCAGCACATTATATCAAATTTATTCGATCAATTATATACACAACCCCGAAACGACGATGAGAAGTTTTCGCGTTTCGAAACAAACCACCGTAAAACGCGATCGACATTCAGTTTTCGCGGCGTGGAACGCGCCGCGGCACCGTTTCGCGGACGATATTTTCGTCTCGTCATTG